CGGCGCGTTGTTTCGGTGTAAAACGATTCATGACTAAAATTGTAGTAAACTGAAGTTTCAGGAACACGTATAACCACTCGGTTGGTAAATATCAAACTCATTCGATGCTTCAATACCGGCGTAAAAGATGGCGCACCCTATAGATCTCCAAGGAATATTTACCTGTGGATCAGTCTGCCTGAGAGTTCTGCTAATCTTAGGCAGTTCAAAAATCGGATTAACAACGCGTCTTCAAATTCCATATAGCAGTCGCGGTGCCCTGGTAAAAGAATTTCACAGACATGGTCCAATAGCCATCTCGATTGGGATGGAATATTCTGAACCGGAGCACCAACTTGTGCTGGGTCTACCCCGGATAAGATAAAAGGTTCTTGGCCTAATGAAGACATGGCGCTCCAGTTAGCCTATACGGTCAAGCTGCTGCTTTCTCGAAGGAGTTTAAAAAAATCTGTTTTGTCAAGTAGTCTACATGCATGTTTGAAGTGAAGTAGTGTCAAAGTTGAAATAAAAGCTAACTATACTGTGAAAATGTTGTAAAATTACAGTATGGCTTAGAAGCTATTTAAGAAAAAAGTGAGCCGTATTTCGTCTTTTGGTGGCATTTTATACGCATCCGAAATATCTGCTACTTATTTTGGAACACCTTGTATGTAGTTTCACCTTCAGTTTTTCCAAATCAATGAGAAAAAAGGTAGTCCAGATCCTCTTCTTTCGACATTATATCTCAAATCCTAAGTAGTATGCCTTCATAATGTTAACAGATACGAATGAGAAAGTGAACAGCTAAGAAAAATTTCCGTCATACAAGTATATAACGATGGAATTCTAACTCCTGCAAAAAAGTGTTCCAAGCATTTAAAAGCTGAATAAGTTCCATCGAAATGCGTGTGAGTCGATTCATAAGTTTTATTCAGATAAATCTGAGATGCTGCATTTATTGAATTGTTTTTGTGTAGCCTAGGACAAGCCACCCACCAAAACCATCCGATTTCCACAAAACGCACTGATTAATATTTATATTTTATTCACACTGCATTAACACTGCTGTATCATTCACAAATGATTATTATTGAATGACATTATATGCCATCAAAAACTTCTGTCAGAAGTTTTCATTTTGAAAAAACTACTACAATATTCCGTCGAGGAGTCATTTCTTGATTATCGAAAGATTTGTCGTACTATATATATATACTATGAAGCACCAAGATTTTTTTTATCACTACGTTTACAAAAATATTAACCTGATGAGTTTGTAGTGTCGCATTCTCTCAGTCGGCAAATTAACTGGCAGTTAGCTAAATTGGATCCAATTTATGGATACTTACTGTCAAATGCAATTATAAAGAAACATATTGTACTTAAGCTGTACAAATATTTAACAACTAAACGATATTTTACAAAATTATAGTCAAAGTTCATTCTTAAAATGATGAAAAAATCTTGTGGTTCAGTCGTTGTAGGGGAACTGACATAATCAGTCAGATAGGACATTTGGAGAATTTTTTAGTGGTTCTACTTACTCTTAGTGACCTCTCAAAATTAAAATATTCTGCTGGTAATCGCACTGTCACAAAATTGCAGAGACATTTTCTGGAAAACATGATTTAAATCCTAGTTCATATGAAAATACATAATTAACGAGGGAGTATTGTAATCCTGAAAATTGTGAAAATAAGATACTAAAAAAAAAGGTAAATAAAAGCTTGTAAATTAAAAGAAAAATTGCCGGCACTTCGATTTTGGAAGGATTGAAAATTGTTGGTTGGAAGTCAGGATTGAAGTAGGAGATTGTAGGGGTTTGGGGTTGTAGGGGTTGAGGATTGTAGATAGTAGAAGTTGCAAACGTTGCATCTTTGGTCTCGGAGAAGGATGTAATTAAGGAGGTTTTGATCCCGATCGTTAGACGTAATAGTTGCACATATTTTCCATACATTAGTCATTGAAACAGAAACATAATGGGTTTACTTTGTATAGTTTGAAATGTATGTATAGGCTTACGATATATCAATCAATCAATCAAAAGCTTTATTATTATTAGACAATATACAACTGTCAATTCTTCGTACGCTACAACCTACAACTAATCTTAAATTGCAATGTCTAAAAATTCATTAATATTAAAAGCATTTGTTTATCAAAAATTGCCTCGAGTGGAACTTGAACTGATTAATATTTTAATACTAATGTCGCATGGCAAATTATTAAAAAGAGGCGAATTTTGATTTGCTGAAGCTTACATATAAGTTACTACACGTCCTTGTGTCATAATTATGCATGCCACAATTTCGCTTGAATTTATCATTATTTTTAAAGACATGTAAGCACAATTCATATATATATATATATACCTGTATATATACTAAGTGACATATAAATCCGAACACCCAGTTTAAATGGTTTTATTTTAATAAAATTTTGTATAAGTACTTAATGAAGCATAATAAGTAAATGATAAAAAATTCAAAATGATTGCACTGCTTTAAAGCCCTTTGACCTTTAATAATGTGTGGATGCACCCTGATGTGCTACGCATTCTCCAACGCGCCCAGGCATGCTTCTGATCAGGTGGTCAATGTCCTCCTGTGGTATCTCATTCCAGGCAACCACCAACTCCTCTCGAAGTGCTTCTAGAGTCTGAGGAGGACGTTGCAAATTGAGCAATCTCCTACCCATCATATCCCACACGTGCTCAATTGGGAATAAGTCAGGAGATCTTGGTGGCCATGGTAACAATGTGACATCATTATGTTGAAAGAAGTCTATTGTGACTCTTACAACATGTGGTCGGGCATTATATTGTTGGAAAGTTGGATCTGCCAGGGTGTCAAGATAGGGTAAAAGATGGGGTTTTAGAACTTCGTGGATATAACGCTGCGCGTTCATGTTACCTCTGATGAAGATTAAATGTAACCTGGAACCATAAGCTATAGCACCCCAAACCATAACTCCAACAGTGTGATGACATGTCTTTCAACAAAAAACTGTGGATTCCTCCTTTCACCACGTCGCCTTCTAACCCTGGCACGACCATCGTGGTGCAGACAACGGTCACTCTGGGATCAGGAATGGAACAGTATTGTCTTTAATGACGAGTCTTGATTTTGTTTAGTCATGCACGATGGTCGTGCCAGGGTTAGAAGGCGACGTGGTGAAAGGAGGAATCCACAGTTTTTTGTTGAAAGACATGTTCATCACACTGTTGGAGTTATGGTTTGGGGTGTTATAGCTTATGGTTCCAGGTCACCTTTAATCTTCATCAGAGGTAACATGAACGCGCAGCGTTATATCCACGAAGTTCTAGAAGCCCGTCTTTTACCCTATCTTGACACCCTGGCAGATCCAACTTTCCAACAAGATAATGCCCGACCACATGTTGCAAGAGTCACAATAGACTTCTTTCAACATAATGATGTCACATTGTAACCATGGCCACCAAGATCTCCCGACTTATCCCCAACTGAGCACGTGTGGGATATGATGGGTAGGAGATTGGAGACTCTAGAAGCACTTCGAGAGGAGTTGGTGGTTGCCTGGAATGAGATACCACAGGAGGACATTGACCACCTGATCAGAAGCATGCCTAGGCGCGTTGGAGAATGCGTAGCACATCAGGGTGCATCCACACATTATTAAAGGTCAAAGGGCTTTAAAGCAGTGCAATCATTTTGAAATTTTTATCATTTACTTATTATGCTTCATTAAGTACTTATACAAAATTTTATTAAAATAAAACCATTTAAACTGGGTGTTCGGATTTATATGTCACTTAGTATATATACAACGAAGGGACAGTTAAAATGTTGAAATCTGTAATATATTTGCAACTTTCTGTTGGTAATATCCCTGCCAGTGATCGGATGCATCTTTTTTGATACACAAATACATCTTCAGAGCGCGTTGACCAACCCAGAAACATACTCCATATCTTAATCTTGAATCCACATTATCAAAATAAAATTGCATTAGTTGTTCAGTTGTCAAGATGGTTTTAGTTGCCTCAACACATAGCTTTGAGAGTTCATCTTTGATTTAAGAAATTTGCAGTGGGCTTTCCAATCTAAGTTCGAATTAAAATAAACAAAAAATTTCACTTCTTCTCTAAAATCGAGCTTATCGTCACCCAATTTAACTTGAAACTCTTTTACAGTTTTTTGTGCATGATGAAAATGAATAAGCGTTGTTTTGGAAGGATTGTAGTATAGTGAGTACTGGTTAAACCACGTATTGATTTTCATAATTAAGTTGTTACATTTATTTTCTAAAATCTTCATATGCTGTAAAATGAGTATCTGGATGAATATTATCAAACTAATTAATATATAAGAGAAAAAAGATTGGTCCCAGAATAGAGCCTTGGGGGACAATCGAAATGTCTAACGTACCTGACACAAAGTTTTTCATATTGTTCCCTGCATCAAGCTATTGTACGGAAACATATTGTTTTCTTTGGACTAAAAACTATCTGGCCCATTTAAGAGACTGACCAAGAAAGCCATATTTACCAACAATTTCCAAGAATTTACTGTGGTCAACGCAGTCGAATGCTCTACTGAGATCACAAAATAGCCCAGTAGGGCACTCGCCCGCGTCGATGTATTCTATAAGCTTCTCATAGAAGGAATGTACCGCTGACATTGTAGTTTTACCATCTGTGAAACCATGCTGGTTCTTAAGATATAGAAGAAGTCTACCCAAAAAGGCATATACAAAGACTTCAGAAAGTACAGACGGCACAGTTATTGCTCTGTAGTTTGCAATATCAAGCTCGTTCCCCTTTTTAGAATTGGTATAAGTTTACCCAGTTTCAGTCTACTTGGGGACTCTCTGCAGTAAAATACGATATCGTTCTTAAGTGAACATACCTCGATTACATTTGAGTCTTTTGAATATATTTGACTCGTTACTATTTGGAATAGTGATACTAAGAAATTTTGTATGTACGGCAAAATTTAAAACATGTTTTTTGTTAATTGAATTCATTTGTTCCAGTGACCTGAGACGATGTCGGAAACAGAAATCCAAAAATTCTACAAGGGATGCAATGTGTTCATAACGGGTGGCACTGGATTCTTGGGGAAGATAATGATCGAGAAGTTGCTTAGGTCAACAGAAATCAACACGCTGTACCTGCTTATTAGAGAGAAGAAAGGAAAGAATGCACTCACCAGGATAGACGAACTGTTCGATGATGAGGTAAAATAGTTATTATTGAAGTTTCCATCATACAGACAGACAGACTGACTGAAATAAGTGACATAGTTTTTTGTGACCTACATACATGCCATGTAGCATCTAAAGAAATGGCGTTGAGCGGGTGGTTTCTGCACTTCCCACGCATTCGATGTCATCCATTCGATAACACTGGAAAAGTCTTCCCTGCCCTGCCGAAAGTATCATCCATCTGGCAACGTTGGTGAACCACACCATTCCGTCATGATAGTGGTGCGCGCTGAGCGGCCAGGTGTAGACGGGATTATATGTATGTACGTATAGGATCGTAGCAGTCCCGTGCGAGCGCGACCCATACGCGACGCGTCTGGATATTTCCCTGTTAGTTGTAAAGGCAAATGTACGGAGAAATCTCTAGTGTATGAAATATGTACTAATAGATGTGTTGAATTGCCGCGGCTGGAAGTGTATAAATATACACACGCAAAAAAAATGAGATAAACCCTACATTCTACAAGACCCAATTTTTATTTCATACATTCCTGCTGAACATGATCAGGAGCCTCTAAAACATTGAAAACAAAGTTTGGGCAATTTTTATTTTGTCTTTTTTTGTCTCTAGCTCCATCGCCACTGGACCGATTTTCAAAAACTACAAAGCCTTTTCGTCTTTTGCATAAAAGTAACTTTGTTTTTTTAATGTACAATTGTACATGTCATATAAAATGAAAAACGAACAGGTAACTCATTTTTGAAATTTTTTTTCGCCAGTGGAAAGTGGAACATAATATCTTGTTTTCGAAATTTCTCACGAACACAATATTTCCTCGCTAGTAAAAGTGAACACATTCAGAATATATCTTTTGGATAGAGTAACATTTTTGGAAAATGACCCGATGGTCACCAATATCGTGTGATTTGACCCCATTAGACTTTTTTCCCACGTCAGTAGCGAGGAAGTATTGTAATCGCGAAAAAAATTTTTTCTGGAGTTATATGACATCTACATCACGTGAGTCACGTATGCTATATGTTTTGTGCTTCGTCGGTAAACGCTTCTAAGGTGTTCTTAAGCCAAAAAATGGCTGGTAAGGTGTATAGTGGGAGCAAACAGTACGCATAGTTGCAGATAATTATGCAAGAGGTTGAAAATAATGTCACTGCCTTCGCTTTTTCTTTACAAAATAGCTATACCTATATAATTTTTAAACAAAGAAGATTTCATCTCGACTACAAAAAGTTGGCACTCGCAGACAAAGTGACATCCGGTTAGGCAGCAGATCATGATGCATTTTAGGATTAAACATTTTTAACAACCTGCCCGACTCTATGAAAAGTATCACTCCAATAGGCTAATTCAAATCTGAGCTGAAAAGCTATTTTGCCAGTACCTGTTCCTATGATATTAGCGACTTTGTCAGTTTTTAAATATTGTTTTAATCACACAATTTATCTTTGTTGTTGCATGGTATTTGTTTGTTTGTTTTCCGTATTTATTAATTGTGTACATATTTTTAGTATTTTTGATGAAACCGATACAGGTTCAGGCATGTCTGAAGGAAAATAAATTTATTATTATTAACCAGTTATTTTCGTCAATCTTACCTCCGAATATTTTCACATCGATTACTGTATGCCACTAATAGCTTATTTTTGTCCACAGATCTTCGATACACTAAAAAAAGAACGTCCAAAATTCAAGCACCAAATCCAAATCATCAGCGGCGACTGCGCCATAGCGGGCTTGGGAGTCAGTATAAAGGACAGGCAGACTTTGATATCGAACGTGAACATCCTCTTTAATGTTGCGGCTACAGTCAAATTTGATGAGAATCTGAAAATTGCGTATGCCATCAATGTCAACAGCGCCAAAGAGGTTATTGAGATGGCCAAACAGATGACCAATTTGAAGGTAAGGGGGATGTTGGAGCCTTCCCCGAGATATCTAGCGGTATTTAACAACAAAAACCACTACGGACAGCCGAATGACTCGAGCGAGTTCAAACTTGCACTGAAGACGCATCACATGTTCCCTGTCTACCCTTCAACCCTGGCGCGTCCAGTGTGGCTAGTTCGACGGCTCATTACTTAATTTACAGACCTCGTATGCTATACATAACCGTATCCTACTAATGCATGATAATAATATTCGCCAAAATACAAAAAATGGGCAAACAAATATGAAAAAACCACAGAAGGCATCGCCTGTGTGTGTGTGTATTATATCTTAATAACTAACAATCAATCATATGTGTATAACATATTAATTTGTGTAAAATTTTTGAAAAATGTACTTTATTTTTTTCCTGATAGTCACTATTTTTTTTCAGTCACTTATTCATGTATCTACAGCATACTGCAATTGTCCGTTATCAGAAATCGATGAGAAATTCTACGATTTTCCTCATTCGCATGAAGATATTGAGCAGCTGCTAGAAAAACTTAGCTTCCAAGAGACTGATGAAATCACACCAAGGTAAGAATTATAGCTCCAAATTTAAGCTAGCCTAAAAAGTTTTATTTTGAAAATATTTTTCTCAGCGAAATGAATTGTAAACAGTTATATAGTTACCTATTTTAATGCAACCTGTTATCATATTTTTATTTGTAGAATCCTAGGGAAGTGGCCGAACACATATACATTCACTAAAGCGCTGACAGAATCAATGCTGAAAAAAATAGGAGGAGGTTTGCCACTTGGTATATTCAGGCCAGCAATTGGTATGTTTTTCAATAATTGTTAGCTCCTCTTAGAAAAAAGTAGTCACAAACATGTATAACAAAGAAATTAAAGCTGTTAAACAGGCTCAGCATTCAAAGCAGACATACGTATGCTCGCAAGCGTAAATCAAAAGCATACTTTTATCATTCAAGTTTTAAGCGAAAATGTAAGGAGAAATACATGATGTATGAAATATGTCTAATAGGTGCGTAAATTTACTGGGGCTGGAAGCGTATATATTGCTAGCACCAACAAATTATACATATACTCTCCTACAACCCCAACATTCAACTTTTAACCGTTGCATTTTTCCGAAAATGATCAGGGTCCTCTGAAACGTCAAAAAACGAAGTTTGAGCGATTTTAATTTTTTTCGTTTTTGTCATTGTCATACATAGTTCTTTCCTATCCTCTTCAGCTAGCTCTCAAAACAACCATGTCATGTGAAAAACTGTGCAGTATAGCAATGTATCCGCTCCTCTCAGTTGCATTTCATCTCTCCTGCCATCTAAGTCAATGGGCGGAACACCAGCCACCACCAGCATTACATCTGTGGATACCGTTCTACAAGCGCAAATCACGCACAGTACGATCATTCTTCGACTTCTGAGTGCTGTTTCCTCATATTATTTCCCCTGTCATAAATAGGGGCTTGATGTAGCATAATCGAGTTTGTCACCCCAGCCAAGCCACCTCAGCCGTATCAGGCATGCAACGATTTTGTTTACCTTATCAGTCGTGAGTCTAAGGTATGTGTTCAGTCATTTTAATTTCCTTGTCGAGCCACATTCCTCAATATTTATGCTCATTTTGGCTTCGAATCTCAGCATCCAACACTAACCAGCAATGAAGCTACATGTGAAACTTTTCCTGGCGCTTATATGCCGATAATCTCCTATGCATGTCTGGCCAATAAATCCATATCTATTGACAATGAAGAAGATATGTCTAGTTTTATAGGCCAGAGAAGAGTGGAGGTCAATCAATGAAGTTAGCTTTTGTCTGCCAAAAAGTATGACCATTTCAGTCTTCTCAGGAATTCCATACATCCTCTTTCATTCATGTGGTAATCCCTAAACGTTTACAGCTTTTACTTCGCACGCCAATTGACGAGGTAGTATTGCAGTCGCAAAACATTTCGAAAATGAGATATTCTGTTTTTTGAATGTTACACCATCACGAAAAACCATGTTACTCATTTCCATCGGTCTGTCAGTCTATCGCTTTGTTTATCTGTCCGCTAATTCTTTGCTCTTCTAGGGTGATGTTTTAAGAGGTATAGGATTTGGTTTTCAAAAAAACACAAAAAATTTGAAAAAACGATTAAATCTTTATTCGAGTCGATAGAACGATCGATATAATTTAATGTTTAAAGATTATTTCATGTAAATGTTGGCCGCGGCTCCGCTTTAGATGGCCCATGCGCAAGGTCCAATTTTGGCACACTCTCTCTCCAACATATCGTATCTCACGAATAAATGCTTCAATATTGGCTTCCAGTGCGTCAATCGTTGCTGGTTTATCCCTGTAGACATTGGCCTTAACATGGCCCCACAAGAAATAGTCCAACGGCGTTAAATCACACGATCTAGGCGGCCAACTGACGGGCCCCAAACGTGAGATAAACTGTTCACCGAACTCGGCTCTCAATAGGGCCATTGTTTCGTGTGCGGTGTGGCATGTGGCACCGTCTTGTTGAAACCACATGTCAGCCAAGTCCAGCTCTTCCATTTCGGGCAAAAAAAAGTTTGTTATCATCGCACAGTAGCGCTCGCCATTCACAGTTCCGTTCCGGCCATTGTCGTTTTTGAAGAAGTACGGCCCGATGATGCCACCGGCCCATAATCCACAACAAACAGTGATTTTTTCGGGGTGCATTGGTAGCTCTTGCAATGCTTCTGGCTGGTCTTTACTCCAGATGTTGCAATTTTGCTTGTTAACGTACCCATTCAACCAGAAATGAGCTTCGTCGCTGAACACAATTTTTCGATAAAAATGTGGATCTTCCTCCAACTTTGCCAGCGCCCATTCACCAAATTGGAAACGATGTGAGAGGTCGTGTGGCTTCAATTCTTGCACCAGCTTATAAGGTTTTACACCCAAATCCTGTCGCAAAATTTTCCACGTAGTGCTGCGCACAGCGGCGAATCGACATTTCACGGTCATCACTAACACTGGCGGATACAGCCGCAATATTTTCTTCAGTCCTCACTCTACGTCTGCGTGTTGGTGGTTTAATGTCCAATAATGTAAACTGGGTTCGAAATTTAGTCACAAGCTTCCGAATAGCTCCCTCAGTAGGCCGACCAAATTGCCCATAAATTGGAAGCAGTGCTCGATGCACTCTCTTAACCGAGCATGAATTTTGATAGTAAAATTCAATAATTTGCAAGCGTTCTTCGTTCGTAAGGCGATTCATGGTTAAATTATAGACCGAACTGAACAAGTTTGACAATGACATAAGACACGATTCACGCGTCATCTGTCAAAAACAGTGTTGCCAAAAAGATACTATCAAAAAAATCACCCATTATAACTTGGAAAGTAATAGTCGAATTTTGGTGAAACTTTGACACAAGGTGACTACTGTGCCAACGACAACAATTCTTTGCAGTTTTTGAAAATGGATCCATTGGCGGCGAAGCTGAGGGGAAAAAGCGAGAAAAATAAAAAACTCTCGAACCTTGTCTTTTAACGTATCGGAGACTCCTGTTCATTTTTGGAATATCTTTTAGAGTGGCAACAAATTGGATGTAGGGGTTGCAAGGTCTTAGACACAGATCGACTTTGAAACTTGGCATCTTACAGAGACATATTTCCAACACACGCGTGGAATACAACGGTTGTAGGGCGATATACATGTTTGTCGGGCTGACGGCTAACCTGGGATGTTTTAGTCATAGCAACCTTGCCAGATAATCGGTACTGGCGGTAGGGCAGGAGACACATTTCTAGATCGCAACGTTGTCATATGCGTCTGGACTAAATTAATGTGTGGTCCTGTTTGACTTAAACCATTTGTTATATATGTACCTAGCTAACTTTTTTTCTCAGACTTTAACTTGTGCCGAGTCAATTTACTTGACGCTATTTTTGTACCTAAAAGGTAAACCTATTTTGGTTTTTTAATTATAAACTTTTCAGTGATATCGACATACAGGGAACCGGTGCCAGGCTGGATTAACAATCTGTATGGGCCAACGGGCATTGTGGCTGCAACTATGAGCGGTGTGTTGCGCGTCATGTCGGTGGACATTGATTGCAAGGCTGACATGGTCCCAGTGGACACTTGCGTGGCTGGACTTCTCGCGTCTGCTTGGGACACCGGCTGCAAAAAGGTCGAAAGGTAAGCAGAATGGTCCTTATTCTCAATGTGGTTCTGACAATCCGAAGTCATAACTTTCTACTTCTGCGACGACTGATCGATAGTCGTTTTACAATCAAGAGCAACAGCAACAAGTTGTTGAAACATCCATGAAGTTCATTTTCAAGCTTATAAATTATCTTTACATTTAGGTTTCGGCACATCTTGCATAGAGAAATAATCATTGAAACAATGGGCGAGTGGAAAGCTATTTCGTTTTGACTTTTCATCGCAATTTAAAGGTTGATTTAAGATCCCATTCACTAGACACATTACGAGTATATTGGTGAACAAATTTGTTATGGTTTTAAATGAAATTGCACTATTGCTGATGAGATAATAGTTGCTATACAGTGTGTCCCGTAGATAACTGTACATAGGAATGGTAGGTAGCACGTAGGTAGTATGAACCGAGATCTTTTCATGTTCGGAAATGAAAAATGTTTGAATTTAGTTTTTATGGATATACACTGTGAATTATCTCAGGCACTATTGAATCGATTTTTATTGAAAGTTTGCTCGGTAGTAAATCTACCTAGGAGCAACGTTATACCAGATGAACGGTCAAAAATCCAGGGTCAGATTGAATGCCTTAACTTTTTTGGCTTTTTATCAAAATCAATACATTTTAAGTTGAATATTGACATGTTTGACAATGTACAAAAACGCCAACGGATGGTACTAATTAGTAAAATAGATTGATTGCGCTATTTTAGCAGTTTATATGAAAAACTCAAAATTTCAAGGGTTTTCAATTTGGTTCAATCAACATATTGAAAAATAAACCTAAAATTGAACTCAGGATCTTTTGAGAACTTAAAATTCTAGGGTCGGTTTCAGTCTTTTTATTTTCTGTATTTTATCGAGTGTAGTGCTCTGTAAGTCATACTCTGAAGTTATTATTATTTCACAGAAAAAGAGCAATACATGATATCAATAAAATAGTATTGATGTTACTCTGTTTTAAATGATTTAATTCTATCAATTGATGTTAACAACATGAATCTTGCTTTAAAGGGAAACGTCATTTAGTATGCAAATGCTCTGAATTTGATTTTTCAGACCAATCCAAGATCATGATGAAAATGTAGAAAGACCTAATACACAGGTCCGGACTCAGCACTTTCAGCATAGTTAGGTTTATGTCCACCCACCCCAACCGGTTAGATTTAGTTAAATAATTCACATATGGTATATCACACAACTAAATGTCAAGTCCAGACCTGCATACTATTTCTTTGTTGATTTTAGTCAGGTTTGTCAAATTTAGTGGAATTGTATATTTAATGCCGTTAAGAAAACCACCGAAATAATAATAAACTCAGAGTATAACTTATGCCTTACTTACTTATTTAATAAAATACAAGGACATACAATAAACTGAACCTGACTATGAAATATTGGGTTTCCAAGACATTTTTAGCTCAATATTAAGCATTATTTTGTAAAATTTTGATGAATAACCCTCGAAATTTCAAATTTTGTGGCCTCAAAATGTTAAGAATGAGATATTTGAATAAATGACATTTTATAACTAAAAAAATAAACGATGTGCATACAATCTATTTTGCTAAGTAATTAACACTCTACTACTCTAAGTGCATAGTCAGTCAATCCAATATTTAGCTGAAAAGGTGTTGATTTGGCCATAATGTGAAACAATCAAGTATGGCCTTAGATTCTTCAACTGTCGGTCTAGTTTTACGTTACACCTAAGTAACTTTGTTATCGTGTATGTATATCCATAAGAACTGGACTGAACTTTTTTATTTTCAGATATCTCCACACGACCATTCAATCATGTCCATTTAAGTACGGAAGACCCTGTATTCAAACCAATACCTAAGATAATATTTTTGCACTGGAATAGCATGTGAAAGGCGCAAATATTTATATGCTATAAATTACAATTGCATTGATTGTGATGATATTACAACAGAATATGGAGAGGTAAATGTTAAACCGTGCATGTAAAGAATTTTTTAAACACCTTTCTCATAATTCATTGGGTGCTATATAATTTGAGGCGCTGATTTTGAATATTGCAATCAAAAATAATACTATACAGTGGGACCTCCGGTAATCGGACAAACATTATGCAGGGCAGTGTCGGACTATCGAATTTGTCGCATTATAGAGCACTGCCTAAGGTCCGGAATTTTTTACAAAAGAGTACCTTGTAATCCGACAAATTACATATCCAATGGTAAGATTATATATGTTATGTATGTGTATGTACTTTGAAGTACAAATCATACATAGTTTATGTATGTCGAATTTAGTAAATTAAATAACAATAGAGAGCTTACGTTTTATTATAAAATTAAGCATAAATGCACAAACATATGTACCAAAATAATCAAGAATTATTAATCAAAATCATTAATGAATTTATTAAATAATGAAGCTTGGAAATATTCATCATTTTTTGTTTGTTTGAGGTTGTTATAACGCAAGATCAGAGCTTTGTCCCTCAGTCTTCTCAAAAGTAAAAGTTCGTTTTAGGATGTACCATTCTCTTCAGCCCATTGTAAACCTAGCTTAAAGGCGTTAATTGCGTCTTGTGCTATGACTTCTGGAGCAGTTGCAATCACGTCGCCGTTATTTTCCTGATTGTTTGTTGTATAATTAGAAACCTCTTTTATAATCTCTTCGTCAGTCATTTCATGAAAAACATTTTCCTCTTTATCCATTCCACGGCGCCAGATTTCCAAATCTTCCGGACTTATCTGTGTTTCAGTAGCGACTTGTTCTATAACTTCCGAAGTAACTCTGATTTGTGGAACGTTGCTAGGAGTGGTGACTATATCTGGCGATAACTTTTTCCAAGACGATTTAATAGTTGATGACGGTAGCGCATTGCAATTTGGTGGAAAAAACATCGCAGTGAGGCATTTATCCTCAGTTGTTAGTTCTTCTTCAGACGGATGACCGGGAGCGTTATCAAGAAGCAACAACGGTTTTTGAGGAAAATTATGCTCTTTTAACCATTTTCTAACTTCAGGTACGAAGCATTCATCAAACTACTTTTTGAAAAGGTCTTTTGTCATCCATGCACTTTTTTGTCCGTAATAGTGTACAGGTAAATCAATGTTTTTGAATGCCCGTGGTTTATTAGATTTCCCAATGACCATCATCTTAAGCGCGTGTGTGCCCGCAGCGTTAGCACATGGTAGTATGGTTACACGCTCTTTACTTACTTTTCATCCAGGTACGTATTTTTCGTTACAAGAAACGAAAGTTTTGTTAGGAATCACACGCCAAAAAAGCCCTGATTCGTCTGCATTTTACACCTGTGACGGGTCAAGATTTAAATCGTTCACCGTTTGCAAAAATATTAATATAAAGGGCTCTATGCAGGTGGCATCGTTAGAAAGTTTCTCTCCTGTAATAGTCATTAAACGTATGCCATTACGACTTTTAAAACATTCTAGCCATCCTTTGCTGACCACAAAAACATCTTTTTTTGTTATTTCCTTATAAAAAAACTTAGCTTTCATGGCCAACATGGGTCCCATTGGTGCATGCCTATTTCTTTCCTGAAGAAACCACTTGTACAAAGCTTCTTCCACTTCTGGATGCTCAGCTTTCTTGACTGTATGACTCTTGCCTGGACCGCAGTCAGTAGTTGACACGAACATCTTGATCTTCTCGTGATTTCTTTTAATGTCATAAATTGTAGATCGGTCTACGCCGTATTCACTTGCTAAACTGCTGAAAGTTTCATTGCGATTTAAGCGGTCTAAAATATCACATTTTTCTTTAATTGTCAATGTTTTGTGCTTTCGCTTCTGAGTTTGTAATGACATTACTAGGTACTATACTTAATACACAATGAATAAATAGTAAACAATGAACGCACGCTAAGCCGTACCGCTATCACCAGTAGTCAAATTCAAACTAAGTAAAACAATGCTTACGCGTCGAGCACGATAGCGGTGGCGCGTACAAGTTGTAACCTGTTCCAACCTGCGTGATCTACATTAGCGAAGATTGTCAAATACGTATGTATGTAATACATATTCAAAGACATGTCGGATTACAAGGGGTCGGATTATCAGGGGTCCACTGTAGTATCTTCTTTGGTCAAATTTTGCTCGAGACTGTGGCTACACAAGCCCACCCCTTCTAGCTTTTGACTACGAAAACATTGTAGACGTGTTTTTCCAACTTTGCGACAAAATAGTTGAATACATATTGCAATTGAAACTGTTTTGTAAAAAAATAAACGTCCAATGGTGGCCTATGGACCTGCGGTTTAGGTCATCAAATGTCAACAGACAACCACAAAACTACAGCTAAGCTAGATACAGAGGACTGCATATCTTAGCATAACTTACAAACATACAGTGGCGTAGCTACCTTAGATGGCACCCGGTACGGAAGTTGGTGGTGTCTCCCCATCAAAGATCAAAAGCAATAAATTTTATATTCAAATTCGAATTCAAAATATTTATTTCGTCATGGATAAACATCATAAACAAAGGAAATTCTACATACAGAGCAATGACGAAAAAGGACAGTCTCTCGATTATAAAACCGTTACATTGGACCCTTTAATACAAAGAGTCCATGCGAGAAAGGCCTGAACACCCTAAAAGTCCTTAAAAAAAATAAAAAAACAATAAAGAGGCAAATGAAGAGGCGGTGAAACACAAAAAGGCAAAAACGAAGAAAGAAGCCCGGGAGTTGGCAACGGACGCGAAGAACAAATCTATACAACTTGTCAGCGAGTAGGAATGTAAAAACGATATTTTTGCTCACACAAACGCTCCTAAAGTAGCTGGTGATTCTGTAGCAACGTATTTGTCAGTTTTCAGAATGTTTTTGACGATGAGCTTTTAACTGAAGTTCGTAAATTATTCCATAAGTGAATCGCCACATAAGCAAACGATCGTCGTAAGGAACGCGTTCTATGACTAGGTACGATAAAATTGAGATTATTTCTGCTCCTCTGGGGACCAGGCAAAGGCACAAATCTT